AGCCAATACGAATAATAAGACAATAATAATTGTTTTGAAATTAATATATGACATAAATAATTAGAAACACAAAACAACTTGACTATGGTCATTAATTCTTTGTCATAAACCTTTTGATAAGTTTATAATACACTGTAAAAAAATTCCCTTCATTAGAAAGAACTTTACTCTTTAGAGTTGATGCAATATGGACATTCAAAAGGTGGTGGGCTATCTCTTAGATTAGAAGATCATCATATGGTCCATCCTAACAATCTAATTCAAATTTGAATAAAAAAAATCTAAGTTAAGGTTGAGCTGACAATTATTCAGATTATGTTTGTCTAAATTATAAACTTGATCATTATTAATGTCGATTCAAGTCGACCTGAATAAGTCAAAATCTTCTTAAATTTGACCCATTACTATTTAGGTTTGTGTTAACTGTGTTTTTTGACGAGTTAAGTTAGTTTAACAACTTTGTGTGATCCATATGATAATGAGTTATAATGTCAAGTTCGGATTAGGAAGGTTTGGGTCAACTATTTGGTTTGCTTAAAAATGAATTGAAAGTATTTCATATGCAAACGATTTTTTTTTTCTGGCATAAGTCGCTAAGCCTCTTGCTCTCTTCGAGTTCTAGTTTTCTTTTATGGAGTCAACCAAAGCAGTGCGTTGCAATTGAACCGGATAGGATGGAGTAACTTTGTTTGAAGGAAAAACTGAAACTTCCATGACGTTGCTGCTCTGCTCGCAAGTTTCTTTATTTTTCTCCAAATTGTATCTAAAGCTTGAGGAGGGGTTTCTTCTACAACAGTTACTTCTATTGAGTCTATTGTTTATGTTGCACCTGCTTAGTTTGATGTTGAAAACATCATTTTAGGTGAAGTTGTAGTCGGGAAAAAGGTTGATCATATGTTATTGATCAAATGAAAAGGCTCTTCCTTTAAATGAAAAAAAAATGCAAACGACTTAAAATTGTTGGAGTTTTGATTGATGAAAAACAAACACAGAGCAAAGTTTTGATACAATCATTTTTCACGTCATTGTTCATCTTTTATGTGTGATGAACTTGTACTGTAGGTTGATTCCAACATCAACACCAGCCTTAATAATCCCTCACCCCCAGACATCGCTACCACCAACCGTAATATTTCGCCACCATCATTGGATTGTATAGAGCATCCTTTTTACTTCAAATTAAATTAAAAATAGTATGTATTTTACACTCATCCAAATTATTCTAAATATTTTAAATATATCATATTCTTTTTTACATTATATACAATTTTACTCTGCATCTTTTTTCAGCTAATCAAACAATGCATTACTAATTAAGATTTTTATCATCTAATAATCCTTTTATTAGTTCTTCTAATTTTAATATCCAAAAAGTCTCAATTAGCTCTTTGTATTATCTGTCTAGAAATTATTAGCTATATGCTACTCTTTAAACTAAGGACCTAAGTTGTAATAAAAAAGTTGTTATAAGTTATAAAAACTTAGACAAATAATTGAAAGTCACAACTCCAAATTAGTTGGATATATAAGCTAACAAAAGCCTCCATGTTGCAATTTATTGTCTATATATGAGACAATGACATAACAGAGCTTGGGATGCCTCATTGTAGGCCAACTAAGGATTTTTAAGGATTTATTAATTATTTATTTAATCTATCATATTTCATGTCATAATATTTTAATGATATTTATAATGTTTGTAAGAGTTGAAAATATTATTTGATTGTTTCACAAGTTATTGATAGATATAATATGATTGATGTAGCTATAAAAGATAATTTAATGTTGTTTATATTAAATTAATTTTTTCAATAATATCTAAATACAGGGGTGTTAAATGATTTGATCGGGTATGATATGAAAGATTTGGGTTCAGCTTTACCTTTTTAATAAACGAGTCGGTTTCATGTCTAGAATTTCGGCCTGTTTATTTGGCGTGCTCACAAACCGGATTTAAACCTGCAAGTAGCACATTTACTCTTTTTCCTTATATTCTTTTATTCTTCTTATTGTTCATCAATTAATCTAAATTGTATAATTGATGGGTTATTTTTTTAATCAAAATGGGTTATTAGTTTGGTTTCAAATCATCTGGCTTGCAAATTGGTCAGGCGCAAGTCTATTTTTTTGACCCGTTTATTAAATAGATTCGGTTTGAGTCAAACGTATTCAGAATAAGTCAATTTCGTGCCAGATTCGAACTTGACCCATTCTGACCCGTCAAACAAGCCATGATTCTTCTTATAAACAAATTTGATCATGAATATTTTAATCAAACAATATAGCAAACATGAACATTTATTTTAACTAATATAAATTATAATATTTAATTAATTTTATAATTTATTAATTAGTAATTATTATATCATTACATTATAAAAAACATAAGTGTATGTTCATCAATTTTATAATAAAATATTAATCGATTTTTTAACGAGTTTATTCACTAGATCGGAGATCTGTATCGAATAAGAATCTAGCTTCTTGTCGAGCTTATTTAACCAGCTTCAAAGGATGTTGTTCATGAACATAAATGAGCTAAACATATAGTTGTTCAAATTTATTAATTTAAGCCAGAAGTATTTAAGAAATGTTAAACCTTTTTTTCTTACTTAATTAAATGATCACTAATAAGCGTTAATCAAGCCGAGCACGACTAGGTCGTTGTACGCTGCATTCCTTTGCAACCCTATATTTACATGTTTAATATATAAATTTTGATATTTAGATATACAATTGATACATCCTCGAAAAATTATCTTGATCACCAATAATCCAGTGACTCGATAAGACGAATCCAACGAGCCTAAGATCACTAAATTCTGACATCACTAAGACATTCAAATGTCCTTCAAACGATATGTGATTAAGGGATTCAACATCAGCCATCCATCCATGTCACTCCCAATATGCCCTTGATCTCCCACCTATTTATGGGCAATGCCACTCTAGGAAATCTATAAATAGACATCTTCTCCCTCTTGAAAGGAAGGCTTCAATCAAGAGAGCAAGAGAAACATTGGAGATCGTTCTTGCCTTCTCGCTCATCTTCGACCACCGTCTGAGTTCCGCAGACCACCGCTTGACGTCGTTGCTCCGCCGAACCACTACTTGAGGTCCTCACCTTCGTCGGACCACCGCTTGAGTTCTGCCAAACCGCCACTTAACGTCGTTGCTCCGCTAGACCACCACTTGAGGCTCTTACCTCCTCCGGGCCACCACTTGAGGACCTGAACTCCACCGAACCACCGCCTGACACCGGAGTTTTGCTGAACCACCACTTGAGGGCATGAGCTTCTCCGAACCATCGTCTGACATCTAAGTTCTGCCGAACCACCACCTGAGGGCCTGAGCTCCACCAGACCACCCTTACTTCTGCCGAACCACCACCTGAGGCCCGGACTTATGTCGGCCACCCTATGATGCATGGACTTCTGCTGGACCACCACCTGACGCCTGGACTTATGTTGGACCACCACCTCAGGCCTGAACTTTTGTCTAACCACCACATGAGTCCCGCACTTCTGTTGAATCACCACATGAGGACTGGATTTCTGTCGGACCACCACTTGAGGTCTGAACTTCTACCGGATCACCACTCAACTCTCGAATTTCTGTCGGACCACCACCTAAGGCCCGGACTTCTGTCAGATCACCACATAACACCCAAACTTCTGCAAGACCACCACCTGAGGCCCAGACTTCTGTCGGGCCTCCACCTGATTCCTAGAGCTCTGCCAGAGTACTGCCATACTACAACGGTATTTTTGATCCCGATCTCCAACCAACTACGATCTATTGGACCCCTCTCTCATGCTGACTATGATCATTTCGACATCCGTCGCATACTACGGTCCTTCCGACCTACATTGCCAAACAACGAACTTTCTAACCTTGGTCTCCTGCATACTACGATCCTTCCGACCTACATCATCAGACAATGGTCTTTCTCACCCCGATCTCCTGCATACTACGGTCTTTCCGACCTCTATCCTATCAACTATGATCTTGCCGACCAAACAAACATGTCTATGTTAATTATTATAACTCCCACCATGTAATGCGCTCTATATGATGTACATTTGTGATATCAAGCCAATGCCTTATCTCTAAGAAGGGTCTCATTTGTAATCGACAGCAAATACTAGTGGATTCATTCAAACTAGGCTAAGCCCCGTGACTTTTCCCCCTTTTCAGGAGTTTACACGTAAAAACTCCAGTGTCTCTTTTAAACGCTACACCCTCTTTGTTATATCTGCTTGTGTGCTGGATCTTCGTACAACGCTACTACATTAAACTTTATACTCCTCTACCGCCGCGAATACACCAGAATGCAACAACAACATATAAATTTTTAAATCATATTACAATAGTGCTAATATAAATTTTATTTTAAAATAAAAAATATATTTTTTCATATATTTATTTTGATACAAATTAGTCATCAAATATATATTCTCTTAATTATAGCATATTTTTACATTCTCTTCATCATACTGTTGATATCTGGCGCGCTTTTTAGTTTTTACACAACAGTTTCCGCTAATTTCCTGCGTTCTAGGGTTTCAAATTTAATGCAATGTTAGATTTTCCATCCAGACTTCTGTAGCTCAATCTCTTAACGCCGAAGAGATGGTGGGCGCTTTCTCGAGATGTCTTGGTGCCTGCAGGCTTCTCCAGGGCGGAAGAGAGTTGGTCCCAAGCTTCGCTGCCCGTAAGCTGGCGCCGTCCCGTTTCGATGGTTCCGTCGTTACCGCCTGTGCTGCAGCGGCGAATCTGGAGAGGGAGAGGGATCGAAGTGGGGGAAGAGTGTTCGAGATTGGAGGTGGTTCATTCGGTGGTAGGTTCCCGTTCTGTAATTTTTACAGTTTTGAGACATTAGAAGGTGGACGCTTGGGAACGGTTTACGGTTCTTTGAGGGGTTACACTCCAGAAAGAGCGAGGTCATCAAGCGAACTGGTATTACTACCCATGATTTAATTTTGTTTATTTAATTGTATTCCTGTGAACTTGTTATGCAACACTGTTTAGTCTTTAAGTTGCTATTGTGCTGACTGAAGGTGGCTATGTTTTTCCATTTCATGATCATCTTGAGAACTTGTTTCAGACAAAAAGGGCCAAGCTAAAAGATCCCTTTTCAAGTAGAAAAGCAAAAACACTTGCTACTACACCTATACAAGCAGATTTTATGCTTTTTATTAACGTAACACATCATATGAATCAAGATAATCAAGCTAAAAAATCTAATTACAAGAGCTAATGTTAAAGCCCAATGAAAAGGCCAAAGAAAAGGCCCAACTACTAGAATCCTATAAATAATATAAAATTTAGAATATTTTAAATATAAAGTATAGAATATTATTCTTTTAATTTTTATTATTCATTTAGGAACTTACATGGTTGGCCTTGTCATGGAGTAAATATTCAAAATAAATAGTTGGAACTCTATCTTCTTTAATTGCCACTAACCCTCATTTTTTTGCCCTTTTTTTCATCCATTTTTTTCCTTCAAAAGTTTTAGCCTAAGGGTTATGTTATGCTGATAAATATGACTTGAAATTCTTTATAATTTTCATTTTTAATTGAAATATTTTAGTGGAGAAATTCTCTCTTCATTTTGTTTGGTGTTTGGTGGCTTCAACTTTGCTTTTTCTTTGGTGGGATATGATAGTTATCCTTCTTCCTTGTATATTTACTTGCTTCTTTCTTAGGTTTCTACTCTTAACTTATCTTACACCTCCTTCCACATCCCTAGCATCCACCAAGACCAGCCATAATCCAAATCAAGCCTCACAACTACTCCAAGATCTCAGTTATAGCTCTTTGTGATAAGCTCGATGAGACTAATACGCAGTCTTGTTCCCTGCCAATCAACACTCACCTAAATTCCGCAAAATCTAACCATCTAATCCATAATTCATATCACAAGTATACATCCTAAATTAATCTTTCGCAAGCATTTTCACGTATTTACCTCATCTCATTATCCAAACTGATTTTTCAAATCAGCTCAAATTATTCCAATCTAGATTAGTCTTAGCATTTAAACCATTATGCCTGCTAAACCTCACATCTTTCCACCACAAATTTCAAAATATTTTTTGAATATTAAATTAAAATTTAAAATCTTTTTTAGCCATTTTATCTCATCAAAAGATTACTCACCATCTTCATATTTGGTATCATATCACTTTGGAAGGAGAAAATCAGTTGAAAATATTTGGATAACTAAGGAGAATTTTCTTGCGGACTTGCCACTAAAAGCTCACTTAAGCAAGTTTGATGTTAGTGAAAATTTTTTTATAATTGATTTATTATTTTATTTTATATTAATATATTATATATCTAGTTATGTTTTACAAGTAAATGGTGTATGCGTAAAATCCAATGGATTTTTAGAATTTTCTTGCGGACTTAAGGTGGCTATGTTTTTCCATTAATATATTGCATATCTAGTTTTGTGTTTGAAGCAAAAAAAGTAAAATAAAAAGGGTTAAATTTCTTAAGAAAAGCTTGGGATATAAGAGGTATTTACATCCTCTTTTCACTTCTAAGTTTTATTTGCTTAGAATTTATATTTTAACTTCCACTCTTTTCCACTATTGTTCTTTTCCTCTCATATCTCTTTTTATATTTTTAGAAGTTATGTGTTAGCACCCAAGTCATTTTCTCGATTGATTGAAAATTTTACTAAAATAATTGATTTCATAGATCTTAGGATTCATGAAAAAGTTACTAAGATTAATAAATTATTAGATGAGAATAGAACTCAAATGCAATAATTGAAAGACCAATGCAAGCTACCTTATTTTATTATAAATCTTATCTCACCTCTCACCCAAAATTATAAGGCATCGGTAGAAAACTATGACCCTTACTTAGACCCAGGTGAAGCCCAATTTAATAGGAGACATTCCAACCTTATAAATGAAAGTAGAAAAGATCATAATTATAAGACTGTTCATAACTTTAGTGATTCATTCATGAGAGATAAAGTTGATGTTTTCACTTATGATCCCAATGGATTTTTAGATTGGTTTGTCCAAATAGATGCCTTTTTGATTGGATTAGATGGATAATTACCAGAGAATTGCCTTTGCTGAAAAGATATTGGCCGAACATGCCTAAGATCTATTTGATTGATACTTTAGCTACATAATGGATGTTTGGAAAGACCATCCTTACTTGGATTGAAATGAAGGAGATGTTAAGAACCAAATACTATCATAGGCATTATGATTATAAAATGGGAAATTATTCACTCTAAAGTAATATAGGATCCCTTTAATTGAATACGTGAAAACCTTTGAAACCCAATATCTAAGACTGAGTGTGTTGATAATGATTGACAAATAGCTAATAAATTTGTCATTAGACTTTTTTATGGATATTAGGAATGAAGTAGAGTTATTTGATCCCAAATTTTAGAAGAGGTCATCCATTATGCTTTATTGGCAGAAGCCAGAAAGTTAAAAGAAAGATGCATCTTTTTCAAGTTCAAAAGGACAAACTCCCTCCACTTCATCCCATAGGTACCACACCTGCTAGGCTAGCCCATTTGACCAAAACTCCTATTGGTGGGAGTTTTAAAAATACATAGAAATTCATTTATTTCAAATGTAAAAAAAGAATCACGCAAAGCAATTGTAAATCCCAAATTATTTTCTTATGAGAAGTTTAGACTCTCATAAATGATGAATTGGAAGAAGTTTACGATGATATGCCTCTTTTTTGTGAGAAGTTAGAATTCATGTATTAACCTATAATCATTATGATGTGATGTTTGATTGTAAAACAAAATGAAAGAAATGACCGGAGGAAGAAGAATATTTTTACTATGTATGTCATGGATGCAATTAATCAAGTTAGAAGCTAAAGTAGAGATTCATGCTTTTATTGAGATGGTTGATGCTAAGAAGCTCAATGCATGGATTGATTAGTTGCAAACATACCTAACTTTATATGGGTAGAACTTCTATGATAATATTTCTTATTTACATGTGTGCTAGCAACTTCATTGAAATGGACAAAAGATGTGGTCATTCCACATGAATTGAAGTATTACCTTGGTCTTGCTTCAGAATAGGTAGGCTACACATCCCTAATTTATCATTCATTTAAAAATAATTAATGTCTTTAAAAGGTTATTAGTTTGATGAAAATTGAGCGTGAAGTATTCCAAATGAAGGGGCTTTAGAATGTTTGATTTGATGATAAAAAGAGAAGAATAAATTTTTTGAATTCCAAATTCATTATGCTGTTCATTTTTTATGTATTCAAAATTCATGTGACTTTGGCCTAATTTCAAATACACCGTAAGCTGACTGTTTTGGTGCTACTGTTGATTGTGGCTACTTGCCCTTCATCGCCACCGTTATCACCACCCCCCGGTAGCCACCTGACACCACTGTCATTGTGCTTTACATTGCATTCATTTTACTTTAAACCAAATAAAAAATTACCCCCTACATTTATTTTACACTTATCTAAATAACTTCAAATGTTCAAATATATTGCATTCCTTTTATATTGTATTTTATTTTAATATGCATTCATTTTTCTCAACAAATAACTTCAAACTAAGAATTCAGTAGCATCTATATGAGTGGATAGGTGGTGTCTAGTAAATGGGTGTTTTGGCGTGCTGGTTTGTTGTGTAAATGTGCATGGGTGGGTTTGCGTGTATTTGTGTGCTGGTGTGAGGTGAGCTCTTGTGGGTGCATCTGCATGTGTATATGTTGGTTTGCATATGCGTGCATGATCAATTGTCTTTTTTATGTGTTAATTTTATGCTAGCATGGGATAGATGTAACAAGATATTCCCTTGATACGAAAGATGTTACTCTATTACATTTTTTTCATTCGAGCCAAATATTTTGTTTAATTGCAATATTCTTATTAAATGTTTGCTCGTCCTACTTCACTCATTTGTAGAATGATTTCAACTCCAATCAATTGTGCTGAAATGTTTTTGGAAAATACACCAACCTTAACTTGCCGTCTCGAGTTCAATCAATTCTTTATTTCAATTATTTGATGATGTCACCATACATTGTGCTTTTGTGACATGCAAATTTACTTATTTGTCCGTATTTTTATTTTTATTTTTTTATTTAAAACGATATCTGGCTTGTTGCAATGAATTTCATGAATTGCTTACTGTTATCCTCATTAACTCATTTCTAGAATGATGAATCCAACTATAATCAATAGTGGTGCAGTGCTCTTTTAATGTCTAACCAATCATCAACTTAACTGACTTTTTTCCCCTTTTAATCGATTCCTTCTTTCATTTATGCCATGAGTTTCACTGCATTATGATGTATTACATGTTCTAATGATGTGTAATTTCTCTATAATTTAGCCAACCTTTTATTGTCTGAAAAGAGAGATTTGCAGATAAGGCATGCTTTGTTCTCCACCTCAGCTGGTGATGTGGCTGCAAAAGGTCCAGCTGGTGGGACTAAGAAGGAGGTTCAAAATGATAAAATTCGGAATGAATCTACTGATGACCGAATTGCTGACATGCAAATCCTTCGGACCCTTATGAGGTATTTGTGGCTAAAGGATAACTTTGAGTTCCGCTTGAGAGTGATGGTGGCATTAAGTCTCCTCGTTGGGGCAAAGGTAGGGACACTAAAAATATATATATATTGTCATATAAAGCGCTTAGCAGCAGTGTTTTGAAATATGCTTTATTTCTTGAATAAGTAATTTTGCTTCTAGTTTGACGACTCATTGAAATATTTTAATATTATAACTGCTTTGTGTTAAAGATGAATATGCTTTTTACCAGTTTGTACCAATAATGCATTACAGTTTTTGTTTTTCCGTTGGCTAGATAGCCAATTCTGCAACAAGTTAACGTTATTTTAACTATTTAGAAATAAGATAATTACATTGTACTGATGAATTTCACTTTGGTGTTCTGCCTTTTTTGGTTTTTTTTTGCAATTGAAAGTCAGGTTTTAAATGTCCAAGTGCCTTTCCTATTCAAGATTGCTGTGGATTGGTTATCAGCAATAACTAGTTCTGGTGATTCTCTATCATCTTTCAATGAAAGTAATTCAATGCTACTGGCATTTTTTGTGAGCCCAGCAGCTGTTCTAATAGGCTACGGAATAGCAAGAACTGGGTCATCAGCCTGTAATGGTATTTTCTAAACTCATTATGTTCGTAGAGTTTCTTTAGTCTGATTAATTAATTAATTTAGTTTGAGGCTTCTTTTTCTCTCAGAATCTTTTTTGGTCTTCCAGATTAACCAAATTATCTTCATCTGTTTTTCCCCTTCTGTGAACAGAACTGAGAAATGCTGTATTTTCAAAGGTAGCACTGAGAGCTATCCGCACTGTTTCTAGGAAGGTGAATACTTGAATTTCTAAAATTTTCTATTTGCACAGTCCTCTCTGTTATTGAATGTATAATCACCTAAATCTTGTACTTTTAAATTTTTTTTCTTTCATATTTTACCCCTTTTCCCTCTTCATATGTGCAATCAGCAGTGCTTGTGATGCAAAACAAGGAATTTAGTATTTTAGATTTATCCAGCGATAAATTTTTTTTTGCCCTTTGGTCCACTGTTTGAAAATGCAGCTCAATAGCCTGTTTTTATGGTCAATTTAAATAGGGCTAAATATTCAATAAGAATGAATGAGAAATGGGAATGCTTATAGTTGGCCCAAAATTTGGAAAAGGTTAATGATTATGATGTGAAGAATAATGCTTGGTTTATGATGTTCTTATGTTGAATGGCCTATTGCTAGTTGTTCCAACCAGGGCTTCTCCTAGTTCTCCTGTGCTCTTTGGATACACAAATTTGAACTAACTCCACAATAGCTTATCCTTGTTTTACCAGTAGCCCATGTCTCGGGCATTAAGCTAAGATTAAACAAATATAAGTTCTAACTTTAGCTTGTTTATTGAGCTATTTCCATAAGGTCTCAATGTCCTCAAATTTAGAGGAAGGAAAACAGAAATTTATGCAAAGCTAGGATAACGGAAAGAGAAGAATAATTAGGGACAAATAGAGGGATCTGGAAGAGCAGAGAAGAGAGAAAATGAAAGAGCAATCTTGTAAATTTAATTCATTCAATCTTCATATTGATTTCCAATTACAAACCATAACCTGCATTTGTAGAAATACAGTACAAGATAACAAATAAATTTGAAATTAAATCTAATCCTATTCAATGCTAAATCTATTACTACTAAATAATCAAATTGAAGTATAACATTATCCAGAAGGTTAATTCATCCTAAATCAAATAAAAAGAAATTCATAAATCCTAATTTAAATTAAATAAAACTTACCAAAGAATTGCAATTTAAATTTCATGTATCGAGTAGGTTCAATATAGAGTTTTTTCCAGCCCTAAATCTTGATTTGGGTACATATACTACGTCAGAAACATTCACTAGGTTTTATTATTTATGATACTTTGTATCAAACAGGTAGAATGAGATTGAGGTGGATATGGGAATTTCAACAAAGGAAACATTTGAGTGAGGTTCTAGATAAGGATCCAGAGTAATGGAGGGCCATGAAAAGAGGTGGAGTTTACTTCTATTCATTTTAGCTAATATTTTTCCTCGTTGGGATGACATGGAAATGAGCATAAAGTAATTGCATTGAGCCATGAAGAAGCAGGCTTGAAAAGATCACTTGTGGTAGCTTGTTCTATTGTTTGATATCATCCGATCTTTGCCAAAAGTTCTCTGAGAAATTATAGGGTAGAGTTTCCCTTTATTAACTTTGCCTTATATTGTTATTCTATCGATTTTTTTTCCCACCTGTTGTTTTCACTTGTCTTAAACTCAGAACTACAGCCCAAGCCAATTCTTTGCAATTTTTTTTCTTATTTTTAAATTTAAACTTGTTTTAACTTTAAAGGTTTTATTTCCTTTTTAATATTTTTTATGCGACTCATTTTTAAACAACCATTGTATTTACATATTATATTCAGTAACGTTGATAATGCCATATCTAATGATTGATAGTGCATAATAATTGATTTATGTATTATGTTCCAGGTGTTTGCACACTTGCATGACCTCGATCTTCGGTATCATCTAAGGTAATTTTAAAGTATGACTTTTTATCTTAAAAAATCATTTTTTTATTCTGAATATTAATGATATTTTAGTCTAATACTAGTTTCATCACTTTGCATAATAACGTGGCATAATTTTAGTGGTTTGATATGTTCAGCCGTCAAACTGGAGCATTGAATCGCATAATTGATCGAGGAAGCCGGGCAATTAACTTTATTTTGTCATCGATGGTATTCAATGTTGTACCAACCATTCTTGAGGTATGCCACATCATTGCTACTAGAGATTGCGTTTGGAAATAAAAATGGAATTAGTCACATTTAGGGTTGCAAGTATCATTTTCTTCTCATCAAATGGAATGCATTATAGTCAAAATTATTTTAGATGCTAGGATATAGGAGCACTAACAGATCCGGTGCAAGGCTTCAGAATTTCTTCATACTGCTTTCAGCAATTCTAGCCATCCAATCCAGCTTCGATGGTGGGGATTCATTGCATGAACATGGATGGTTTTCGTGTAAGCAATTTGCATTTTCATACACTGAAAAGATTGAATGACCAAATTGGTAATTGAACATTGTGCAGTTAACTAGGGGTGTTAATATTTGACATGATCCGAAAATTCGACCTGAACCCAACCCAAAAATTCTGGGTCTTGGTCTACCCATTTAGAAAATGTGTCTGGTTCGAGTTCTATATTCTGACCTGATTGCAATTTCGGGTCAGTTTTAGGTCAACCCAAAAGCAATCCGTTTCATTGTTCGTTAGAGTTGCTCGCTCGTCCCCGTCCGCTTGTCGCACTTGCTCCATCGCTTCCATGATTGCGCTTGCTTGCTAGCTTGACTGCCCGCGCTTGGGTGATGCTCGGTCACCCATCGCATGCCAGTCGGGTAAACGGGTTGGGTCCGGGTTTGTGACTTGTTTAGTTAATTGGGTTGGGTTAGTTGAAGGCGGGTTAGTTTGAGGTTGGACCCGAACCCAACTCAAAAATCATTTTGATATCTACAATTAACCCTCTAATTCGAGAGTATCCAAATCACTTATTAAAATACTGAAAAATCTTTCCTAGTGTAGTTTGAACTTCAGTGCAATTGTATCATGGTGCTTAACCACCTTTTTACGTTTACAATTCAAATAGTTTTATTGCATCATTTTATGATTGTGGTTTTGATAATTTTAGCTTTTTGGTGTGTGATAGTTTCTCACTCTTCATGTTGGCTTATTTTTTTTAAACACTATAGGTTCACTTCTCTTTTCTGTGAACAGCGTATTTATTTGTATATAATTATTTACCTATAAATACTGATAATAATTCTTATCCTAATTTTTCTCTGTATTTTACTAGTCTTCTACATGTCCTCACCTTTCCGATTTATTGATGTTTTCTTTTGCCAAAAATGTGCTATATTATGGGGTTAAACATTTTTTCATTCTCCTTGTATTTTTGCCTTTCTTTATGGAAATTTTCCAGGTTCTTATTGATATTTAAATCTACATTTGTGCGTTATTTTTGATTAATTTATCTTTTGAGAATATTTTCTCATTGTCATGCTTTTATTTTTGATGGGTTAACTTATTTCAACAACAATTTTCAGTTTTAGTTGTTTTCCTCACTCAAAAAATTTGATAATATTCTTTTTTGCATTTCTTAGATTTTTTTCCTTGACTTTCTATGGCATTATTCTGATTATTTATGTATTCCTTTTCATTTCCCATTATACTGTGCTTATAATATTTGCATGTTGTTGTACAGTATCCAACTGATATGAAGTTTCTGTATTAATTTAACTTGATATTTATCTAATTTGGTTACCTTTTTCTTGGGATTTTATGATTTTTATGTTAATCTGACTAGCAGCATCTTCAAGGACAGGTCTTATAAGCTGGGGTTTGGATATTATTGAATATCATGATTGTATCAATCAATAATTTATTGTTGCTTACTTTTTTTTTCATACTTTGTTTTATCCATTCTTTGATTTTTATTTTTCTTTTCTGATTTTTACCATTTCCATCTTTTGCAGATTGCTATGGTATCAGGTATTCTTGCATACAAATTTGGAGCTACTTTTGCTTGGATCACTTCACTCTCTGTTGCTGCCTATGTTGCTTTTACTTTAGTAGTGACTCAGGTATGCGTCATAAATTTGGTTGACTATTTTTTTTGTTAAAATCTTTTTTTTGCACCAATGATCTTTTTCTTTTGCGAGTGCTATTAATGTTGTTTCTTCCTTTTTTTTGTCAACTTTTTTTGCACCAATGATATTTTTTTATGCGAGGGCTATTAATGAATTTTCTTCCTTTTTTGTTTATTTTTACTTATAGATTCATTGCAATTTGTTCTATAAAGCTTTTTCGTTATAATTTTCTCTTCGCAACAGTGGCGAACTAAGTTTCGACAAGTGATGAACAAAGCTGATAATGATGCTAGTTCAAGGGCAATTGATTCTCTGTTAAATTATGAGGTCATTTAACTGTAGTTTCTGCACTATTTGTTTCTTTTCATTTTTTAAATTGGCTCTTTTATTTCCCTAATAATATTACTCTGTTTTTATTTTTCTTCTGTCCAGACTGTCAAGTTTTTCAACAATGAATCGTTTGAAGTTGCAAAATATGACTCGTATTTAAAGAGTAAGTATTGTCAAACTTCTTTTACTAAAATGTTTTGCAAGAGCAGTTATGCTATTTACCATGCTCTTTGATTTGGTCACATGCTTATCCACGGTGAGATTTGTTTGTTTCCCCATAGGTGTTTGGAAATGTTTGTCTTAGCATTTGATAATGAGTCATATTAAAGCAACTTGTGGTGACATCTGTTTATTCTACAAGAAATCTCTTCTTGTGAATTCGATTCCTATATTTAATTTTTATCGAATTTTACATTATTTTTTTTATTACTTTTTCAATATTTTACGCAAAAGTATATTTCAATTCGTCAGCCCATAAATTTAGTAATTTAATTTTTTCAAGTAAAAAAAAGAGAAAATTAAATGTGACCTCTAGCCCTTAAGATTGCAACTCATCTTTTTCTTTTTTGAAACTGTGTTTCAAGAATGAGAATTCAGTTCCATCTTATTGCTGCTAAACATTGCTCAAACTCAATTATGGAAGTAAGATCCAATAATTTTTGGGTACTTGTAGTGACAAATTGCTCCTGAGTGAAAGAAACAAATATCCCAAGTGGGTTTGAGCTTTCTGTGCTATTGGCAAAAACCAAGTGTTCGCTGGGATAGTATTGTTTGTTTATTTGAGATTGTTGCTTGTTATTGATGCATCCACTAATTATTGCGAAGGTTTTTTGAGGGAGTTTGGAGGGAAATTTGAGTGTAGGGACTGTTTAGAGATTTTCTTTTGGATTGTATGCATTAAATAGTTTGTTTTCCTAGGATTAAGGCATCTTGAATTTGGCTGAAAATTTGAGATCTCGTAGTTTCTTTGGCTCTAGCGGCGTCTAGAGATTTGGGAGAGATAGATCCTCCTCTCGAATAGAGGATCAATTATATCTTGTTATTTTTCTTCCGTTAGTTGGATTATTGCAATAAAATCTACTGTTTTCTGTTTTTTCATTGGTTTTGTGGATCGTTTTCTTTGTTTTTGTCTCTTGTTAAGGTTTACTTGAGATATTCAAGTATTTCCTAACAATTTGGTATCAGAGCAATTTCCTGGGCTGAAATAGAAGTCTTATTTGCTTAATTTTGTTGTGTTCTGTATCTGATTGTGTTGTTTTTGTTGATTGGAGGCTAGAATTCTTGTCAAACTTTCGGCTCTTGCTATTGGAGCCTAAATCCAAGTTCCCGTGGCAGGAAGAAAGGTAAAAGTGTTGGAAGGAAAGATTGGATAATTGAAAACTAAAATTTCAGATCTCCACACTCAACTTTCAGATGTCAAAAGTCAAATTTCAGCCATCCACGAGTTGGATGGAATTTTTTCCAGCCTGGGGGAGACGTTGAAGAAATTGCTCGAGGGCCAATCCAAAACGGCGTCGTTAGAGGCGAGGGAAGCCTCCGGAAACCTAGAAAGCGGGGAAAACTCTAATCTAATATGGCAAAGGGAAGATCATGAAGTAGAGACTCAAAAGGAAAAAGAGAGAATGCCTCCCTTAGAGCATGTTTTTATGGGGGATCTGGGTAGAGGGTATGGGGAGAAGCCTGAGGAGGTTAAGCATGAACAAAAGGGTGCTGAATTTGAGAGGAGAGGGGCGAAATTTGAATGGTAAAGGGATAATTATGACCGAATAGGGGTTGAAATCGAAAGGAGAGGGATTTATTATGATCTAAGGGGTACTGAATTTGAAAGGAGACTGGGAATTTAATGAAAGGTTTGTGTATGATCGTAGAAGGGATGATTGAGACACTTGGGGGGAACCACCCTTGGGGAATGGGAAATTATGGAGGGAACAGAGGCGATCCGATGGTGAGGAAACAAAAGATGCCAATCTTTGAAGTGGTGGATGCGCACGGGTGGATCTACAATGTAGAAAGATATTTCACTGTCAATGGGTTGTCGGAGGAGGAGAGACTGACGACAATGGGCCTATGTTTGGAAGGGAAGGTTTTGTCTTGGTACCAGTGAAGGGACATGCGATGACCCATATGAAGTTGGAGGGAGTTCAAGGATTGTTTGGTAGAATTTTTTCTAACTAGCAGGGGAGGAGACTTCTACGAGAAGTTCTTCACCTTGACACATGATGGTTCGGTGACGGAGTACTGGGAGAGATTCGAGTACCTTGCTAGCTGATTAGACTGCCTTCCTGAGACAGTGCTAGAGGAAAATTTCATGAGGGGATTGACACCAGAGATCCTAACAACTGTTAGAGTAATGAGGCATCGTGACTTGGGAGAAGCTATGGAGCTAGCTCAATTGGTGGAGGATCAGAGACACTTAGAGAGAGACGGGAGGCATCATCTCAGGAGGTTCGAAAAGGAGGAACACTACCTTTCTGGTACCCAAGGAGCCAACACCGGGTACTTTTCGGGAGACTTCGAAGGAAAAGACTATAGGAGTAAGACCTGATGACAACTTCATGGGGCTCTATTTCACATGTGACGAGAGGTATATGCCAGGGCACTGGTGTAAGGATCAGACTCTTCAGGTTCTTACCATTTGTGATGAAGAGGGAATGGAGGAGAGTGTCATCTTTTCACCTTGCGGACAAGCTGGGTCTTTGGGAGTGGAGTATTGTTAGATCGGTCAAGTCTGTCCACATGTGACTGACTCAGGTGGAACAGAGGCGGAAGACTCCGCCTCTCCTGTACGCCGCTCGAACCGCAGGAGCCAACAAAACATTTTAGGAAGGTTTTTATTGAGAGAGTTTGAAGGGAAATTTGAATGTAGGGATTGTTTAGAGATTTCCATTTGGATTGTATGCATTAAAAAGTTTGTTCTCCTAGGGTTAGGGCATCTTGAATTTGGTTGAAAATTTGAGATCTCTTAGTTTTTTTGTGCTCTAGCGGTGTCTAGAGATTTGGGAGAGATAGATCCTCCTCTTGAATAGAGGATCAATTGTATCTTACTATTTTTTTTCGTTAGTTGGATTATTGCAATAAAATCTACCGTTTTCTATTTTTTTCATTGATTTTGTGGATCGTTCTCTTTGTTTTTGTCTCTATTGTTAGGGTTTACTAGATATTCAAGTATTTCCTAACAAATTGCTCCCTCATTTTCTCTCTCCCAACCGTGCCATAGCCTGTGGTGCAAAGGTGGAGCTTTTGATTAGTTGTGCTCTCACATTCCCTTCTCTCTTCTTCTCTCCCCATCTGTTTCTTTCTCCCTTCTTCCTTTTACTCCTCCATGTTCCTCTCTCTCTCTCTCTCTCTCTCTCTCTCTCTCTCCTTTGACTCGCCATCTTATTCTTCTTCACTCCCTTTGTGTATTCCTATTTTTTCTATGTACACATTAATGGGCATGTGAGCAGGCATCCAGGTGCAAGGACATGGGTATGGGCATGTTTGTGCTCATGGCAAGCCGTTTCTTTGCATTTGGGTGGGTATATTCCTTTCTTTGGTTTGTATGAGATCACCAGCTACGTTCGGTTTGATATTTTTGAGACATTTGAAATTTATCTTTCGATCCTAGACATTATACTGACAAATTATTGAATTAATATAGGAAGATTGGGCAAGATACGTAATTTTACTTCCTTTTTTACCTTACTATTTATAATTATGTAGGCTAACTTTGAAATGGACGATGTTTCTCAGAGTATGAAGATGCTGCATTGAAAACTCAAAGCAGTCTTGCTTTTCTGAACTTTGGCCAAAATATTATATTTAGCACGGCGCTTTCTGCAGCAATGGTCTTAAGTTCCTACGGGATTATGAGTGGTGGCTTGACAGTTGGTGATTTGGTAAATCATTTAAGTTATCTTGAATTTGCTTGGTATTTTCTGCCTAATTAGATCTGTTATTTTATTTGCTTTTAATTAAACTTTTACCTTAGAGAGGAACACAGCCTGTTATTTTCATTACTTATCGTTCTTAGAAATTCATACCTACCTCCCTCTCCTTACTCTATTAATTTAGGTTGTTAATCCACGTCTGGAAGAGTTTTGTGTGTGCGCTGTTGTTATAAGCTTTATTTAATTCTTTAATCTTCGAATGTCTTTATTGCTACTTGTTAATTAGATGAAAGTTTGCACAAAAATTAACTTCGATGGAGAGCTTCTCCTTTTGTGGTCAGATAGTCATCTTTAATTGATCTTTTGTTGTGTATTATTGGTATGGTGTAACTGATTAACAATGCTTCAATTTTTAAATAATTAGGTAAATTTGGTTGGTTACAATTTGTAATTGTTATTCCGTTCTTGTGCAATTTATGGACTTTAATCTTTTGGGCTTTTGAAGATATAAGCCATTTATCTTTCATGCAAGCAAAGCTAGTGCACTTTTAGTATGAAAATGTAATATAATATATATTTTCTATTAAATCTTTTAAGCATATTCTGATTAGCTGGTGTTCGTGGTTTATGTGTAACAATCTCGTTGAAAGTGTTTGATGTGTTTCTTGGACCTGTGCATTAGGTAAAGTTGGTTCATTTTACAGTGCTGGTTCCAGGAAACTCCAAATATGGTTCTACTTTGGATCCAATTTTGGGCAAACCAAACACCTAAGCTTTGATAAATTGTTTTCCTGTTGCATGTGTTCCATTACCCATACGATCCATCTAATTTTTTTTTGCATCACTCTCCTTATGTAACTATCTTTCTGCAAGTTACTGTGCATTCTGTGTGAATTCACTTCTAATTGGGATCATATCTATCAATTTATTCTAGTATTCGTAATACATGTTCATTCTGGTTTTGAAACTTACGCGTATGAGATGTTGCTGCATTGCTCAGGTAATGGTGAACGGGCTCCTCTTCCAGCTTTCGTTGCCTCTCAACTTTCTTGGAAGCGTTTATCGAGAAACTAGACAAAGCCTTATTGATATGAAGTCTATGTTTCAATTGCTTGAGGTACCTTAGTGCAGATTCTGATATTGCTTTAATTCTGTTAGTTTGATTATGACTAAAGAGTTTCTTCTGCATAATTTTTGAAAAAGATCCAATACAATACTGGTCATTTTTGTCCTGTATGTCAACCTGCTCCAGTTCTCACAATTCTGATTAGATTTTCTAAAATAATATTGTAGCTGTTCAAATGCATTTTCCACTTTAATTAGTTGTAATGACCCTTTTAAACATGTTTACTCTAAGTGAAACACATCATGGTTCAATGTGTTATAGTTCTTTATGATTGCAAGTAGTTAGACTGTTGATTTTACGTTCACAATATGTAAGCAACTATCTTTTTGGCCAGGATGATCATCCTTTTTGGAAACTTTTGGACAACATTTGCTCCTTGCATTGCCCCTTTAATTTCTGTTGCAAATCCTTAGATAACAAAACTTAATGTTTCTGAATATTGTGGATTGAAGTGAGTACGTGCACAGATTCGTTTAATGTATTTGTTTATATTCTTAATGACTTTCGTAGGAGAGACCTGAAATCAAAGATGAAAGCAACGCAAAGATATTAAACTTGGCTGGAGGGTGCATTGAATTCAGGGATGTGCATTTCGGGTAAAAAAACATATTTTTTCTGTTTCTGGGCATTTCTAGTAAGTTATTATTTTTCCTAATACCTGCATCGTTTATAATTTGCAAATACTGCTTAAGTAGCAATTTGTTTGCGTCGTTGTATTGTATTTTTACTAAGCTTGAAAGAAGCCCTTACCATTTGTCCTTGTCTTTGACCTTCTTAGAAGTTTGACTGAGTTTTGAACAACGGTAGTGGAGCCATTTTTTTTGAAGATCAAATGAATTTTGATATTTGTCTGCATTGGGGTTTTGCAGCGGATCATGTTGCAATTATGTAGTATAAAAGATGATACCTTTTTAACCTAGGCAGAATTGAAGCATTTTATTATTTAGAATTCAACAACAATATCAAATATTTATCCCACTGTGGGGTCGGCTACATGAATCCTTTTTCTGTATTGTGTCATGTTAAAAGTCAAATTATGATTTAAATTTAATAAAAATGTCATTTCTAATATTTTCTAACCAAGTTTTTTTAGGTCTACCTTTACATTTTTTAAAATGAGCCAAATCTAATACATCTACTCTCCTAACCAGGTCATCAGAAGGTTGACATTTTATGTGATCAAACCATCTAAGACGAATCTCTCTAATCTTATCTGCCACTAGAGCTACTCCAACTTTTTCATGTATATACTTATTTCACATTCCGTCTATAAGAGTGAAGCCACTCATTCACCTAAGCATCCTCATCTTTGCAACAACAACAACAACACCACCACCACAACCACCACCACCACCACCACCACCACCACTAAGCTTTTATCCCACCATATGGGGTCGACTACATGAATCTTTTTTCTACATTGTGTCCTGTTAAGTGTCAAATTTTCATTTAAATCTAATAAAAAGGTCATTTCTAATATTTTCTAACCAAGTTTTTTCTGGTTTACCTCTACCTTTCTTAATATAAGTCAAATCTAATACATCTACTCTCCTAATCAAGTTATCAGAAGGCCGATGCTTTATGTAACCAAATCATCTTAGGCGACTCTCTCTAATCTTATCTGCCATTGGAACTACTCCAACCTTTTCACATATATGCTCTTTCGCATTCAATTTCTAAGAGTAAAGCCACTCATCCACCTGAGCATCCTCATCTCTGCAACATTTAACCTAATTTAATGCTTCTCTTTTAATGGCCAATATTCTGCGCCATAAAGCATTGCAGGTCTTACCACTATCTTATAGAATTTTCCCTTAAATTTGAGGGGTATTTTTCTATCACACAATATGCCCAATGCATTCCTCCACTTCAACCATCCAACTTGAATTCTCATAATAATATCCCCATCTATTTACCATCACTCTGAACAATAGATCCGAGATATCTAAAATATGTACTTTTATTAATGACTTATCGTCCAAAGTCACAATCCCCTACTAGATTAATTACTACTAAAATTATACTTCTTGTATTCAGTTTTAGATCTACTCAAACGAAAGACTTAAGACTCTAAGGTTGACCACCATAATTCAAGTTCACCGTCAACTCCCTCTCTAGTCTTATCTACAAGAAGAATATCATCAGTAAAAAGCATACATCAGATACATCCTCTTGCAAATGTCTAATAAGACCATTCATGACAGAAGTAAAAAGATATGGGCTTAAAGCTGATCCTTGATGTAATCTAACTCAAATAAGAAAATATTTAGTCAAACCTCTTTGTGTTTGAACACAAGTAATAATTCATGCATACATATCCTTAATGACTTGAATATAAGCATTATTAAGCCCTTTTTCTTTTTAGAACTCTCCATAGCACTTCATTTGAAACTTTATCATATGCTTTCTCTAAATCAATAAAAATCATATGATCCTCATTCTCTCTATACTTCTCCATCAAACCTCTCAATAAATATATAGCTTCCATTATTGTTCTGCCTAGCATGAATCCAAATTTATTTTGAGAAACATTAGTATCATGTCGTAACCTATGCTCAATAACTCTCTCAAATAGTTTTAAAGTATGACACATTAACTTAATTTCTCTATAATTCGCACACTCTTGTGTATCACGTTTATTCCTAAAAATAGGAATTAACACACTCCTCCACTAATTTGACATCTTTTTTAGTCTTTAAAATATTATTAAAAAGTTTCATAAGCCAATAATTTTATTTATCTCCTAAACTTTTCCATACCTCTATTGGAATATCTTCAAGTCCAATAACTTTTCACACTTCATTTTCTTTAAAGTTTATATAACTTTAGTTTTACTAATACGTCAATTAAAAAAAATTATTTTGGGTGCTAAGGTGACTAAAGTCAATTCTATTCTCACAATCTTCATTGAAAAACTTATAAAAAAATCTCATCCATTTTTGTTGAATATCCTCTTCTAATAAAAGTACTTTTTGATCTTCATCATTAATGCATTTCAATTGACCTTAAATCTTACTTCTCTCATCTCTTTGCTTGACTAACTTATACATATATTTTTTGCGCTCTTTAGTATCTTATCTATCATATAAATATTCAAAAGCTAAATTCTTCGCATTGCATTTTTTTTCTTAGCCTCCTTATGGACCTCTTTACGGGCTTCTTTATATTCTCATCCTACAACACTTAATTTTATGCTTTTCTTTTAATGGCCAACATTCTGTGCCATAAAGCATTGCAGATCTCACTCCCATCTTATAGAATTTTTCCTTAATTTTGAGGGGTACTTTCTATCACACAACAAACCTAATGCATTCCTACCCTTCAACAATCCAACTTGAATTCTACTAATAATATTCTCATCTCTTTCACCATCACTTTTAACAATAAATCCGAGATATCTAAAACGTGTACTCTTATTAATAAATTGATCGCCCAAAGTAACAATCTTCAACTAGTTGTATTACTACTAAAATTACATTCCATGTATTCGATTTTAGATCTCAAATGAAAACCTTAGGCTCTAAGGTTGACCTCTATAATTCAAGTTTACATTCAACTCCCTTTGTAGTCTTTTCAACAAGAAGAATATCTTCAACAAAAAACATACTCCAGGGTATATCCTCTTGCAAATGTCTAGTAAGAACATCCATGACTAAAGCAAAAAATATATGGTCTTAAAGCTAATCCTTAATGAAGAGATAGGCTTAAAGTTTTATTATTTAGAATGAAGAGCTTAAAAAAACATCGTTATTAGAAAATGAATCGTAGCGAGCACTGTTGATTTAATCACTTTAGGAGGTTTTTTGCTAAGATATTTCTTGATTTTTGCATAACATTTTTGGATTTCCTATGTTTAGGGATGGTTGTAACGATTTGACGTTTTCACTCAGTTTGCTATACCGATACCAGATTTTTTTGGTTGTAGTGTTTCATCTCGCTTCTTGCATTAATAATGCTATTAAATAAACTAAGGTTTGTTCATCTTTTTTCTTTGCATCACTCAGCAACTGATACTGCTCATTTTTCCTCTATACAGATACCTTCAAGAACGCAAGATTCTTGATGGAGTTTCGTTCCTTGTGCCTGCAGGAAGAAGTGTGGCCATTGTTGGGACAAGTGGCAGTGGTATGTTTTCAGATTTGCAAATTCTGTTGCAGGTTCTTATGATAGCATATTACATCATCTAACCCATACGTTCCTTGCATACAAACTACGTTTTTGAATTTTTGGGTATTACTTTATCTTATCGACAAGAAAATGAGAAACATGTAATGTTCACACTCTTTAGAGGAAATGTAATAGATATGAAAATGGTTCAAGGTTTGTTTTTTAATTGATATGTTAGATGTTGCATTAAAACACCACTTCTATATTTTAAACGAGTTACTTTCTGATTATGTACTTAGAAAAAAGTGATGAGATGTCAGAAGCTGTGTATGAAATGTTCTAAAATTCTAGATTTCCTTTATGACCAAGCTTTTACACCTATTAGCTAAACTATTGTGGCCTTATATTGAAGTTATATGCATTTATGCGCTTGAATTTTTCAGGGGTTTCGTTTTCTTTCTCCCTAATAAACATAACAGTACAATAAATTGCAGTCATTGTACTATTTTTAGAATTGTGCTTTTCCTATGCTTGATCCTATAACTAACTTGCAAGCTTAGGAGAGAACTGTTAGCCCTTTTTATTCATGTGGAGTAATAAATAGTTAAGGATTGAAATTGGCTCTATTAGTTGATAACCGATTTTTGGTGCATGTATTGGTTTGTTTCTATTGTTTGAACAGCTATTTATATGTGCAGGCAAATCCACCATACTCAGACTTCTGTACAGATTTTTCAATCCTGATTCTGGATCTGTAAGAAAAAGATTGCTTTGGCTTTTTTTTTTTCCTAAACTATGAATTTTTTTTTTTCTCATCAGCTGAAATTATACCCTAGCCTTGTGTTTAATTTATAATTCATTTGTCTGGATTCCTCACTTTGGCTCCCTTTGAGAATGAATGGGGCTAATTCACCAAAAAAAAAAACATATGGGGCCGTTTTTACAAAAAAAAAAGGGTCCGTTTTTACCAACAAAATAATATCTGGGTATTTAAGATATAAGGCTAACTCTATATAATTGAAACGAAGAGGCCAGTTAAAATCGGCAAATCATAATGGGTAATAGTAATGAGGAAATTAATAATAAAAAAAAGAAAGATTTGAATCACCATTGAACATTTTAGATGGCATTGAAAAGTTTGCAGATGTTACTATTGTGCCGCAGGGACAATAAGATATTGCATTCACTTAAATATGATAAAAAAGTAAACCAAACAATGCTGAAATTATGAGCAATTAGTTCGGCAAGCATTACACCTGTAGAACTATCTCTCACATATACGCTTTTCCCTACACGTCTCTTCCAATCTATTGTCCTCTTTGTGCACAAATAGTCTAGTCCACTGACCTCTTTAGTCTGGTTAGTTTGAGAAACTGCTGATCTTCGATCTAGTTAATATGAAGATTGCGACATTGATTTTTGATTCAATTGAAACTTGAAGACCTTCGCAGTAATATCTTCAATCCGATCAGAGTAACTCCTTCCAGTTATCTTCAATCATGGTTATACTTGACCAAAACCTTGCGGTGATCTCATTTTTGTTGGGTATCGGTAAGTATGGCCATTATATGAATTCAAGATTGGGGCACTCTAATCATGTGTATTTGGGGCACTCTTTTTAGTGTCGAAACTGCCAACGGAAGCGAAATAGGTCAATGGAATGTTTCCTCTTAGGACTTACATTGATCAATTTAAAAATAAAATGCAGGTACACGAAAATTTTGAAGAATCGTTCATCTATGATGCAGTTAGTTTGAAGACCACGTAGTGGATCTTTGATCTTACAAGAATATTTGAATATCCTTGCACTATCAATCTTTGCTCTAGTCGGAAATTGAACAACTTCACATCATTGATAGTTGATATGGCTAGAGTTTTGACTCCCTCTGTTGATTATTGATCTGAATTTAAGGAGCCGAATGCTTGCCATCAGCAGCTATGCTTGACCAAAATTTAGATACAATTTTATTTTTGTTAGTCAACACTATCGTACTTTTACATTGCTGGGATACTGCAACTTCCACTAGTTGGTAGATGGGACACTATTGTCAGTGTCAAAACAACAAACAAGAAGGGAAATATGTCAAGAATGATTCCACCCAAGGCTCTGATTGAAGAATTTGAAATAAAATACATATTAATTTAAAAAAAAATTAAATAACCATTCATCATCAATATATTACTCAAATCTGGTTTAGGGAGATGAATACTTGCTTTTGGTGGCCACACTTAACCAAAACCAAGCGGTTATTTTTTGTCAATTGATAGTGCTTGCTATGATTCCTGTGGCTTGAGCATTGCCAAATGCGCATGACCTCTACCCAGAGGTAGGTAAGGGACATTTGTCATTATTGAAACCTCTAGCTAGAACGGAATGTCGAAGGAACGCTTTGATGGACTGGTCAAGGTTGGCAGAACAGGGGGTTTTGCCAATTTAAATGCCCCCTTTGGGGTGGGGCCCAAGTGAAAAATTCAAATGAGAGGGGAGGGGCGACTATGAGGGAAAATTTAAATAGGAGAGGGTTGCTTGCGGATTGGTCATGTTATTGTATGCCTTAAGTAGGATGTTTATCCCAGGTTTTGTTTTATGTTTTGTTTTGCTGAATTTAGGTTTGCTTAGGTTGAGAGGGCTCTAGCCGGTGGCTAGGGACTTGGGAGAGCAAGACCTTCCTCTCCAATTGACGATCCAGTTGTATCTTGTGCTTTCTTTCATAGTTATTTCAATAAAAAATATTTTTGGGTGTTCTTCTTCCTAAGTTTTTGTGTTGATTTTTGTTTTTTTGCTTAATTTTCATTCACTTCTTATCAAATTGGTATCAGAGCGTAGATTCGAGTACCTATGGCAGGAAGAAAGGTAGAAGTATTGGAAGAACTATTATTGTGAAGTGCAGGAGGGAAAATTCAAATAGGAGAGGGTTGTTTGGGGATTGGCCATGTTATTGTACGCCTTATGTTAGATGTTTACCCTGAGGTTTGTTTTATGTTTTGTTTTGCTGAATTTAGGTTTGCTTCGGTTGAGAGGGCTCTAGCCGGTGGCTAGGGATTTGAGAGAGCAGGATCTACCTCTCCAATGAAAGATCCAATTGTATATTGTATTTTCTTTCATCATTCTTTCAATAAAAAGTGTTCTTGGGTGTTTTGATAGATCGGTCCATATTGGACCGGTTCAATCGGCCCAAGAGGACCAGCGCCTGGTTTATGCTAGGTGAAAGAGGGGGGAGCCGGTCCCCTTGTGGGGCCCATGAATTAATGGCCAATTCGAATGAGGGGGGCGGTTTAGGAGGAAAAATTAAATTGGGGAGTGGTTTTTAGTCTTTTGGCTCTTATTTTGTATTCTCTAATAGGAGGGAAGAGATTAGGGTTGGGGGTTATGCAATTGTTTGTGTTTTTTCTAAATTTCTTCTTAGGTTTTGGGCTCTAACCGTCGGTTAGAGAATTGAAGAGCCGGATCTTCCTCTCGAATTGAAGATCCATTGTATCTTTGCTTATTTCCTTCCACTTTTATTAAATTATCAAGTTTTCCTATTGTTTTGTCAAGAGATTTCTTCAAAAACTTCTGTGTTTTTGCTGAAATTTCCAATTTCAGCCACTATTTGGGTGATTCTTGCACTTGTTTTATAGCAAATTGGTATCAGAACGAGTTTCTAGGCAGAACAGTAAATTTTCCTTGTGGATTTTGCAATCGGAGTGTAGGTCCAAGTCATGGAAGCAAAGAAAATGAATGCGTTGGAGGGAGAGATGGAACAACTCAAGGCCGGAGTAGAGGAAAAATATTCCGGGGTGGAAGGAAAACTCTCGGCCATCGAAAACCACTTCGGGAACTTTGAAGAGATGATGAAAAATATGCTTGAGATGCAATCGAAGACATCACCGGGGATTCCTAGGGTGCATCACGAGGAAAAGGTATCCAGGAGGAAGATGATGAATTAGAGAAAGTTTGCCCTCAAGGACCTCCACGTGGAGCATTGTTGGTTGGCGGATTGGGTTATTCCGAAGGGATGATAGCAAGGAGGAAGGAAGCCGACCTCTTTAGGCGATTATCCGGACATGGGGAGAGGTGGAATGGAGAAGGGTGTGGGTGGGGGGAACCATGGGGTCAACATCAACCAAGGGAGGAAGGAAGGGAATCACACCACCACTACATCGGGGGAACCAATGTGGAAGAAACCATTGGGGATGGATGCGAGGGAAAAGAAGTTGAAGATGCCGGTCTTTGAAGGGGAGGATGCTCAACATTGGGTATATCGGGTAGAACGTTACGTTTCCATTAATGGGTTTACTGAAGGGAGAAGCTCATGGCGACGGGTCTATATTTGGAAGGGAAAGCCCTAGCCTGGTTCTAGTGGACGGAGGCGAGATATCTGATCTACTCATGAGAAGAGTTTAAGGAGTGCTTGTTGGAACGTTTCTGTGCCATTCAGGAAGGGGTCCTCCACGAGCAGTTCTTTGCTCTAACACAGGATGGGACAATTATGAAATACTAGGAGAAGTTTGTATTATTGTCAAGAAGATTGAGGAGGATTTTTGAGTAAGGATTGGAGTGGAATTTCATGAAGGAGCTTAGGGAGGACATACGGGCCAAAATCAAGGTACTGAGGCTTAGGGGCTGAGAGACGATGGAGTTGTCTTAGAGGGTGGAGGAAAAATGTAAGAGGGAAAAATCCATCAGGGGCGACATAGTGGGAAGAACCTTCTAATGATCTGGTTAGGAGAGTAGAGCGTGTACACGTAGACATGATATAATTATAAAAAAATAGAATATGACACGTTGTGGATAGAGTTTTATACTTGATAAATTATTTATATGAAATATTTAATTTATATCATTTTCTTCTAAAAACATCAGAAGATGAAGTGCAATAATAGAATTGACCTTTGTTTTTTAGATTTAAATGAGAATTTAACTCTTAATA